GCCACATGCCAAGTAATCCACAATGGGAAGCTCAGTGATGCCTTTGAAGTGAAGACAGGAGTGAAACAAGGTTGCCTACTATCCCCCATGATATTCCTTATTGTGGTGGACTGGATCATGCAGCAAACAGTAGGCAGCGAGAAGAGGGGGATACACTGGACGACGGAAAAGAACCTAGAAGACTTGGATTTCGCCGATGACTTATGCCTAATGTCACATAAACTTGAAGATCTGCAGGCAAAAACTAACAAGTTGACAGAAGAGGCAGCCAAGACGGGACTTCAGGTGAATATAGAGAAGACAGAAGTGATGAAGATACCGCACCACCACCATCAACAACAACAACAAACTCCAATCACCGTCAACGGGAGAAACTTGAAGGAAGTAACCTCCTTCACTTATCTAGGAAGCACTGTTTCAACTACAGGCGGGACGGACGAGGACGTCAAAGTCAGAATCGGAAAAGCAAGACAGGCGTTCATTAGCCTGAAACCAGTGTGGAGATCTTCTGCACTCAGCATCTGGAACAAGATACGGATTTTCAACACCAACGTCAAGTCAGTGCTCTTGTATGGCTCAGAGACTTGGCGCGTCACGAAAGGCATTTCCAATAAACTACAGACATTCATCAACAACTGCTTACGCTCGCTGCTGAAGATCAGATGGCCAGAAAAAATAAGCAACAAGGAACTCTGGGAACGAACCAACCAAGAACCTATCACGCAACAAATATGCAGGAAGAAGTGGAGATGGATTGGGCATGCACTGAGAAGGCCGACTGAGGACATCACGCGTCAGGCAAGTTGCTCGAGTGGAATCCCCATGGGAAGCGACGAGTTGGACGTCCGAGGGTGACATGGAGGAGGTCATGCGAGGAGGAAATGAGAGCTTGTGGGCTGTCGTGGAACCAGGTTCAAAAGATCTCAGAGAACAGAGGTCACTGGAGGCGTGCTACTGAAGCCCTATGTTCCACTAGGAACCTAAGGGACTAATAATAATAATAATAGGTGAAAATAGTCTAAGAATGCAACTGAGTAACTCCAATTGATTTCGAGCTACACATTCTAGTCTCCATCTACTACATAAACAAATCAACGCATATTTGTGACATTATGAACAATTCTGAATCCGAAACCATTGATTCCCATCCGCTTGAAGACGATCCAGAGAGCCCAGATCGCTCTCCAACTAACAGATAAGCTGCGCATGTCTACGCGGCTCAAACCAAGTCATATAAAATACAACTTTGCTGTTATGAAGGTTAAAAAGAGTCAAACAAATAGTCTGAAACTCCCCCCCTTCAATAACACTGCTTTACAAAGAGTAAAATAGAGTGCACTGATTTGCAGTAAACTCGAAAGTTAATACGTAATAGAATATTTTTAAGATAGGTAAAAGTTACCGAATCTTCTTTATCCTTACCGAAATTTCATCTGTTGTCAACCTCCATCAATGTTGCTACGACTTCCAGACCAAGCGATGTTCATATGCTTGATCACATCATTCTATTATTATAAGGGATAACAAACTAAACTAGTCATGAAGCAATAGTATGCATATGACAAGTAATAAACAAGTACTGAGCATTTTCGAATTATAAGACTGGATCTTTTCAGTGTCTCTGCCAAAAAGTTATGTCTAAGTACTTGAAGTTGCTCGCCTCGATAGTACCTAAGACCCACAAATGTAGGGAACATTCAACAGCGAAGATTCTTAAATGCTTAAATAACTTTCTTACTACAATTCAACCCTAGGAGATGATAAGTAATAAATTGAATTACTCATTTTATTGTTGTATCGATGTTGGAACTGCAGTTCGGAAATAACTTCACCCAGTTTTTCGTCACAAATGGATTCTACGGTCAAGTTCTTTTTTTATGAACTACTACGTTTAGGTGCTTAAGCAGGAGGGTTGAACATAGCATAAAGATATCTTAAAAATATCTTCGGAATGAAATATCAACAGAGCAATAAGAGTGATTGTCTCTTGCCACTCTGTTCCCACAATCATTCGCTCCTAATCAACAAAACTCCAAAGATAAGGGCTAAATTAGAGTAGAACAGCATCACGGCAACAACAGGTAAATTAAATCATACTGTTACTCGCGGTTATTCTGGACGATTTGCAAAAGTTTTCATTAGACATATGCTCAAAATAAGCATCGAGACAATCGATAGATCAAAATATGACTTGGTTTTGGGTATGCATAGTGGTACGCGAAAAAGTAGACATTAAAACAGCTTGTAATTTTTCCCTGTATAATGCTAGTGCCCTGCGTATTTCGTTTTCTAATCTTAAAAATTCAACACAGTTGGCAATTGTACAATTCAACAGGACCGATTAAAGTTTGTTGCTCTTTTATAAGTACTGTTACTACGTGTCTACTGTGTCTGAATGTCAGGAAAGTGTAGGAATTACCAGCCATTCATTAATGTAATTGAAAGAATTATGCACCGTGTTAGAAAGTAACTCCACAATAGATTTATTTTCTGTGTAAGTTACTGTTCATAATCATATCAACCTAACCACACCGCTTTCAACATCTGATTTTATAGTTCTATCACTATATAACTGACCTCAGTCATTGCATGGTATTTGGTAGTTCAGATTATTTTCACTAATTGGTTCAATCGGACCCTTAGGCTGGTAAAGTTTATCTCTAAGTGAGCTTGTAAGTTTGAATGCCATTGTTATTCTAGTCTTGTTGAGGATTTTGCGTAAATTTCCTTCCTGATATGGTTACGCAGTGAAGGCTTTGAACTCCTTTCTACTTGTGTTAACATTATTGCTCATATTTATCTGGGTATTACTACTTCATACATTGATATGATTGTGAGCAATAATTTATGCTCGGAACACCATCAAGTAAATAATAGTCTCACTGTATGCTATGTCAAATAGACAAATCTAATATGAAACTATCAGGTACTGGTGGAAACGCATAAACTTTTATTATCCTGTCAGTCTAGAGCCATATCCTGTCACTAATGATAGCAGCAATAATACACAACTGTTACAGAAAGCCAGACGCACTTGTACAAACTGTTTGCTGTAAGTTTAGTAAATTCAACAGGCTGTGATCATGACGATGAGAAGAGAGAAGTCTGAGTTTCGATCATCGTTGGAGTGACCACAAGCAATGGTAGATGGCAAAATTCAGAAGCATGGAGGCCCCAGGGGAGAGGTAAACTAGTGTAGAACTCCGTGCGAAGTGAGTTAGTTTAAGTTGCCACACTTTACACCAGCATGCAAAAAATGGATAGAAAGAGTGGAATTAAAGCAGATAATAGTCGATGGGAGGAAAGAAAATAAACAGATGAAGGTTAGCGAAGTGTTAAGGACGTTTAAGATAATAAGGATGATAGCATCTACACCACTAACCAATTTCCAAACAAGTCACTACGGGTCTCCAATCACTGACTCCCATCCCTCTCTTCGCAAAACCCTAGTCAGACAGTCTACGTATCCATACACAGCATGGAAAAATTCGAAGACTGCAAGGATTAGTGCTAAATCCTGGTTTGTCACCGAGCCTTTTACCACCCGTCCCACTTCGGCTAACACTGCACGTCAATGTAGAAAATGGCTCGAAATATGCAAGCTATGTCCAAGCTATCTCATTCGGCTAAGGAGCCGATAAATACATCCTTTCCATCAATAAAATCTTTCTGATGTCCTCTGAATTGTTATCTCAAAGATTTAGCTACACATCGAAATATCACTAACCATCGGCTAACAAATTAAGTTGGATAGATCGTAAGCGATAGACAACCACAAGGATCAATTGTCTTTCTCAGCCAGACACTGGCCGGTGATGTAGAGTACCACCCTCATGTCGAGAAATATGGCAAGGGATACGTCACATGTCTCCAAAGATGATGTTGCAAGTAAGAAGCAATTATATAGTTCAGCTCAATGTGATACTGGTGGAAGCAAGGTAGATATTGAATTGTTTGTACCACAGAACGCAGCGATCACTATGCGGCTAACGGATGTTTTCAGCCTCGTTCGCTGTGGCCCTTAAAGATCCATACATAATATAAATGCATAGGAAAACCCACATATTCCTGATGAACACTTCGGGCACGCTTTCGGATCATGAAATGAAGGAACATACTTGGCAACTATTTTGGGCTATTGCAGTCAATCCACAATCATTCTGACTCAAAATTATAGGTATAGTGCCAACATTAAACCACTAAATAAGCACAGGACTAATGTTGATCCGTCTTATACATAGCAACCTGACAGGCCTGCTGAAACTGCGAACTACTCACCAGTTATTAGTGTCCAGACAAAATCTTCACTGATTGGATAAGGAAGAGTGGGGAGACATGCGGTAAGATCATTGAACAAAAATGATGTTTGTGAACATTAAGAATATTCATCAATGTCCACTTGTGTGCACAGACTGGTTTTTGAAAAACATATACATTTTCACAGGTGGATATATAATGAACTGCAACAAGTATGCGTATTATACTCATCATATTAATGATAATGTGGGTTGAAGATTGAAACGTTTTTACAGATATATGGCATACAATATCCCGTCAAACTCTTCTGGTCTCATTGTCGCACATAAAAACTTGAGACCAGGGATAACCTCCAAGACATTCAGTGCAAGGATGCAAAATGTTATGAACTTGACGACTATTAAGTGTCAGGGAATTTTAGCAGTTGTTTACATACTGTTTGTAAGCACTCAGGAATCCTCGAAAAATTACAAAGATATGGGCTGATGGCACAAAAGCATCCTGACAGGTTCAACTCCACTTGATTAAAACAACCTTCTAACTACGCACCCTAGCAAATACATGCAAATGGAGTAGCGTGCGACGATTTATATACCATCCTCCCTTATCCGTCTATGATACGACATCTAAACTAGCAATCTGGTCCTTTATTGGATCGATTATTTCTTAAACCCTTTTATTTTCTGTTATATTTCATATAATTATGCAAGAAAAGTATGTGCACACACTTCCGGCTTACTTACCTAGTTTCGAGTGTCCCCTAATTTTTTCATTTCCGTTGGCCGTTTCCATTACACTAATTTGTAATACACAAACACACGCAGCAATGAAACCTGACCGATATACAATAACTTTACCAAATATGGATTCTTAGAACTGTGAATATAGGTTATTTTAAAACTTAGGGTGCACTGCCTACACTTCATGATCTTCGAGCGCACTGCATGCAATTTAGGCGCACTTTGGAACTTTTGGTAGTTTCAAAGAAAATGTCAGGAAACTTTGGGGAATATCGTGTTTCCCCATCTGCGCCTGAAGTAAAAGTTTTGGGTTTTGCCCAAAATTTAAAATGTGAGCCCGTAGTAAGTGCTGACTGGGAGTATTGATCTTGTGTAAGGCCCATGATGAATACTTTTGGAAGAACATCGATGTATTATGCATCAAAAGGAAAAGAACCCGACAACCCATGATGGAAAATCACAATTACTTAAGTAACTCTTACATATGTGTGAGAGTCGCCTGGCACTATTCTCACCTGTAAAATGCGATATCAAATTTTGCGCGAGTAAAATAAAGCGTTAAGCGTGGTTGTTCTGATTGGCCAGTTGTATATGGCACTCAGGAAAGCTAAAGCGCTAGTTCCTAACCCTACTAACTTATGGGATTAGTTCTCACGCTATAGGGACGCATCTGTGTATTAATCGGCGTTGGTAAAGGAGCATCAGAATGTCCTTTATATTAGTAACAACAACAGCAACCTACATTTGGTGTGGCGACAGTGTTCGGCGTTATTCACATATGTTAGGGAACAATATCTAATTTGTGATTTACGTGCTTTTACATAAAATGGCCAGCTACTGGTGGGTTTTCATCCTTCCCATAGGAAGACGTGAGGAAGATTGTTTGGTAGGTAAGTAATAGTAGTCAGCTTAGCCAGCAAATGAATGTGGGAAGGAAAGGAAGAGAAAAACCTCACCCAGTCCAATAAATTGTATTTATTTTTAGTTGCACGGACCAACTGACTTCTTCGCGCTTACTTCTGTGTCTTGCGGAACGGTTCCAGCTCTCTGGTGGGTTCGGGAGCTGCAGCCGACAAGGTAGATGAGTACCACATTTTTGGTGACTCCATCACCAGTATTGCATCCAAGCAGCTAGACCTTGCTTCATAAGGGATGCGAAAGCACTGGAGCACGTTCATAGCCTTTGTACAATGATACTGGCTGGTCCTTCTGGAGATACCAAACCTTTTTTCATTGGATTATCGTAGGAGAGGAGGCCGGTACTGGTATTTCATGTTCCCAACGGCGACCTTAGGGTTGACGTGTTTTGTTTCTTCTCTCCCTCAAGGATCAATCATCTTTAAGGCCACCGTACCAACAGAAAATCAGGAACCACTATCAGCTGGCTATGGAAACGCTCTACCATGCCATTTGGTTGTGGATGGTAGGCTGCCATTCGAGACCGAGTGTAACCTAAAAGTTCAGTTAAAGCCTGAAATAACCCGCACTCAAATTGTCGTCCATGGTCGGTACTTGCGGAAGATGGACATCCAGAGTCCGCGATCCATCTTTCGAAAAAAAAGGCGATAGTTTCAGCGGTGACTTCATTCGTAGGTACTGCTCCCGGCCATCGCATAAAACGACCCACGCAGGCGCAAACGTAAGTGCCTCCATTTGATTCTGGTGGAGGCCCTACGATACGCCCATGGACGTGGTCGAAACCCATGTCTGAAGCTAGAAAAGAACCTAAACGGCTTTTCGGGTGCCGTATGACTTTGCATCTCTGACAATCGAGGCACGACTGGGCCCACCCCCTAACGTCTATGTTCATTTCCGGCCAGCAGCAACGTTGTGCAGTGGGCTTGATGGTGTCTCGTGCAGCCGGATGGGATGGTTTGTGCAATGTATTGAAGACATTGTGTCGACATCTTTTCGGAACTACTGGGTGTGGTTGACCAGCAGAGACAGCGTAAAACTGTATCCCTACCTGACCGTACTGGACACAGCTGTAGCTTCAGAGTTGTGGACGACATCTCATGATGCAGCTCAAGGTCTTCTTTTTGACACCGAGCTAGTTCAACGAGATCAGCGCCCTCGATACGGTTTATCGCAGCTATTCGAAATAGCGCGTCGGCTGCGGAGTCATTTGCTCCCTAAATGTGGCGGATCTCTGACGTGAACTGGGAAACGTAACCTAGTTGTCGGGACCAACGAATGGGGTATCTGTCTGATGCCAAGCCAAGAGAGAAGGTTAACGGTCTGTGGTCTGTGAAAATAATGAGGCCATGACCTTCCACCGAATGCCGAAAGTGGCGTGCCGAACAGTACATAGCTAGGGGCTCCATACCAAATGTATCGTATCTTGTTTCCGCCTGTTGCAGTCACCTCGAGAAAATGGCTAAAAGTTGCCACCGGTTGTCATTCAGCCATCGAAAACTGCTCCAATCGACGGCAATACTCAAAGGAGCTTTTGGGTAGTGGTGCATAAACATGGTTGAGTTTGAAATGGCTTCCTTGACTTTTGAGAAACCTAGTCCAGCCACGTTGTACAGAGTCACGCCCTTCGTAGCCCGTCGAAGTAAATCTGTGGGTGGCCTCATAACAGTGGCGTAGTTGGGGATAAACCTTCGGCCATTGAATGTGCGGAGCTGCTTCACGGTGGTCGGCTCCAGGTAGTTCATGATAGCTGTCACTTTATCTCTCAATGGGCGTTTGCCTTTGTTGTCAATGATATACCCAATGAAGCTGAGTGATTCAACCCCTGTTTCACACTTCTGCAAGTTGACCATGACACCTTGTTTCCTCACTCTACTGAATACGAGGTCCAAATGTTTAAGGTGAGTTGCCTTATCTGGACTCGCAATGAGACAGTTACCAATGTAGACGCGGACAAAATCTAAACCAAGGAAGACATCATCCATAAAGCGCTGGAGCGTTTGCGCTGCACTTCGAAGACCAGATGGCACGTGCAGAAATTCGAGCAAACAAAAAGGAGTAATAATGGCCATTTTAGCGATATTCTCTGCTGTCATAGGTATCTGATCATACGCTTTGACCAGATAAGTTTTGGAGAATACGTTAGTTCCGCTTAACATCGTAGTCAAGTCGTTGAGCCTTCTGCAATCACCGGTTGGGGGCCAGTCGTTGTTATCCTTCTTGGGCACCATTTGGAATGATGCCTGTGGACTACTTGAAGGTTTGATAGTGCCCAGTTCGAGCATGCGGCCGAATTCGCTTCTCGCCGTTTTGAGCTTATCAGGGGCTAGACAACGTCCTTTGGATGCCACAGGTATAATAATAGTGATGATAGTAATATATACTTCAAACAACATAGGCTACATGAATACAAACCAATTTGCAGGTTTGATCATTGTGGTAATGATAAATGACTATTGTGTTCAATGTTAAGCTATACATTAGATATCGTTATTCATGGCATATAAGAGGTGTGTTGAAGTGGGCTCAGTTCAAAGTTAGGAATTATTCGATTATTGTTTGGATATTCCAATATTCCCGAGGGTGTGGTGTGTGCGTTCGTCACATGGTTCTGATGGCATGGTGCACACTGACAAATGCGATTTCTAGGATTCCATTTGAATGCTGGACTGGTTAGGTAAACCTGAAAAGTGAATAACAAAAGCAAGCAGCGGGCGGAATCAAAAATAGGAGAACAAAAATACGCAAGAGCAGATCAACCATGATACATCTGGGTGAGTTCTTTGTACTGGCTACAAAAAATACTTGAGGAAGTATCCAAAACCAACTGTTTAGAGGTAAGCTTGGGTGGAAGAAGATGAAGGTGCGCATGTCGGTGGGGAAAATTATTCTGAAGCCGAAGATATCACCAAGAAGTAGGGAGATTAGGGGATTTTGGACCAGGTATTCATTTGTTATAAACCTACATACAAAATTTTGATGAAGTTATAAACATCTAAACGAAATTCATGGCTTTTTCTAAGATGGTAACCACACTTTATCTAGTCACGGGGGTGGGATGATCATGGTGTTGCCTGTCAAGCATTGTAATATCGAGGCCACCAAAACAGCATGGTGATGCAGTGTACTTACATGTAAGTACTGATATCAAAGGGCAGACAATAAAACACATTACGTACTAGACCCAGACCTACGTAAATGGTGGGATGGGTCATGATGACGTTCCTTCACCTGTGCGGAAAGAACGCGTGGTTTTCAGCACTTCCTGGCTTCGTCTGCATGGGTACTGTGATACGGGCACCACTCGGGGTTTTCCACCCTGATAGGTTTAGTTTTTGGATAACTACCCGAGTTGCTGCGATGGACTGAGACGTGTTTCTGTGATATGTTACGTAACCTAGGGCTTCGAGTTCGCAGCAGCCTTTTGACCAGGTTGCACGACTTGGTTACCTCTGAATTTCGGCTCGCAGGTTTATCGCAGAGAATATATAGGTTGGAGACGGTCTGCTTGGGATCTCTAGCATTTTATCTGCTGAGGCCTCCAGGTCATCGACTGGAACTGACTGAAGTGTCACTTACACGGTTTGCACCGGTTTTAGCAGCTTCGAGTGAAACAGTTCTCGGAAAAGGCCATTATCGAACGCCCGTGTGTCCAAAACTTCTCACATGCATGCAAGGACTTCAGTGACTGCTTTGCCGCCTAGCTCGATGTTACAAAGCAATTCGTCCAGACGCCGGCGATCTGTGAGATCACTTTTCCTCAGTAGTGCAGCTTTGAGAAGTGCATAGGGATCATTCGCTTCAGGACTGAATATATGCACTGTAACATGCCTGTTTTATTACCGGAGTAACGAACGTATGACAGCGAGAAATCAAGGATGAGGATCTGCGACTATCTGCTTTCGAAAATCTCCCTTGGCGCACAGAAACCATGTTTCTGCATTATCTGACCAGTATGACACGATTTGGATAGTGTTCGTAGTCGGCTTAATACGGATAAGCTTTAGAGTATGGTCGGGCATGGGAGGGAGTTGTATATGGACATACGAAAGTTATCAAAATGAAAACAATATACAAGGGAAAAAATGGAATGGGCTCACCAATTTGAAGATTAGTTCTTGGTCGGGCACACCAATTTAGAACTGGACATACGCAGGGGCCAATCACTAATTATTCGAACTTGCTATATACCCACGAATACGAGACCAAGAAGGAACGCAATAGCGTAGTCGGAAGGAAGAGTATATTTGCGAGGTTGGGCCAAGATACCGATGCTTTCCAACTAACTGGCTGGGGAGTCGATTACGAGCAGTGCAATGTAACACGACAGTGTGCCAAATGGCGAGGATGCTTGACCGGGTATCTTCAGCCTAACGGGTCCGGTAAAACCATGAAGGTCAGCATCATTGTTGAATCTCATCAAACCCTAGG